TGGCCAGCAAAGTCTCGGTTACGGTTCCCATTTCTGTAACGTCCAGCCTCTTAATTTCTGTTTCCACTGCCTTCTCAGCCACTGTTTTTACTCTTTGAATGTTGGCGTTTGTTGAGTATATTTCACTCTCTGCCCATGTTTCCGTCTCCTTTGTTCCTCTGCCTTCCATAAATGTTGGTGTTTTAGTCACTTGTCTCACTGTTTGTGTGTTTTCGTCTGTTAGCGATATTTCGGTTTCTGTTCCCATTTCTTTGGCATCTATTTCTTCACTCTCTGTGGCTACAGCTTTTGTATTTGATGTTGTTTGTGTTTGAGTAGCAATGTTAGCCAGGTGTACTTCAGTTCTTTCTGTTGTTTTAGTAAATTCAATTTTTTTGTGCTCAGTTGTCACTGCTTTTTCAGTCACTGGAACTACGGCTTGGGTGTCAGCGTTTGCAAGTGAAGTTTCTGTTTCTGTCTCTTTTTCCATTGCGTTCTTTCTCTTCTGTTCTGTCGCTACCGATTTGTCAGCCACACTAACGACTGCTTGAATTTCGGCTTCCGCTACGAATAGTTCAGTTTCTGTTTCTTCCTCCTTTGCCTCTCGCTCTCTGTACTCTGTAACCGACCCTTCCTCAATCATTGTTACTACTACCTGAATAGTAGCATCAGCTACTAAAAATTCGGTTCCTACTGCTTTTTCTTGTGCTTCTCTTTTTGTAAGTGTAAGGCTTTCTGTAGGGGTTGCTTTTTCAGTTTTTGCTGCTTTAGCTTGAAGATTGATGTTAACAGCAGTTAGGTCAGTTTCTGTCTCTTTTTCTTCAGTCAGTTTTTTTTTGAGCTCTGTGGCTACTGCTTCCTCGGTCACTGGTACTACTGCTTGGATATCAGCATCAACCACTGATATTTTAGCTTCTATCTCTTTTTCTTCACTTTCTTTTCGTTTGGGCTCGGTGGTCACGGCTTTTTCTGCCATTTTAACCACTGCTTGGACATCGATACCAGCCACTGATAGTTCAGTTTCTGTTTCCTTTTCTTCGACCTGTTTTTTCTCAAGTTCTGTTGCTACAGATTTCTCAGTTGTAGGTGGCGCTGACTGAACATCTACGTCAACTAATGGCGTTCTAATATCTACCTCTTTATCTACTGTGATTCGCTTCTCGTGTTCTGTATTTACCGAAACTTCAGTTACTGCTACTATCACCTGAGTGTTTGCATCAGATAGTAAAAGTTCGGTCTCTGTTCCTTTTTCCACTGCTCTTCTTTGTTCTTTCTCTATCACTCCTTCTTTTAGCACTACCGTTTGAGTGCTGGCATCGGCCATTGACAGTTCAGTTACTGGACCCTTTGCTTCTGTCCCTGTTTCTTCACGCCCAATAAGCACTGCTTGTTTAGCAAAAGGCACTGCTGTTTGAACTTTCTCATCTTTAACTGATACATCTGTCTTCTTCTCTCTTTCTTTCTTCTTTTCTAACCGAATCATACAAAGTTCGCAAATTTGTTCCGTCTTTTCGTGATGGAGATTTGGTGATGAGAGAGATTTTGCAAACTTTATGTTGATTTTGTCTTCATAAAATCTGTCTAACTCGTAGTTGGTTAGGGTGGTTTGAACTGATTTGTTTTGTACAGTTAATTCTGTATTCATTTTACTACTTATAACTTCAACTTTACCTTTCTTATATGGATCATTCATACTTTCTGAGATAAGCACACTTTGATCAACAGTTTTATGGGCAACTTCTGTCTCGCCTTCTCTTTCAGTTTGACTACTTCTGCACTCCAACTCTATTCGAGTTTCAGCTGTGACATCGGACGTCTCTAATGCCGTCTGAGTTCCTACATTTTCTTGTGAAGCCTGCACTTGCACATGATCGTTTCTTGTATTTTGGAAGATAATTTCACCTACGGCGGCATCTGAAAGCTCTTTGCCACTGTATGCGGCTTCCGTTTGTGATGCTGATGTAGACAAACTTGTCTTACTTAGGATAGTTTCTTGGAATTCTCCATTTTCAGTTTGAGTAATTGTATCTTTAGTTTGAATAACTGATTTATCGGCAATGTCATGAGCAGATGCATCAGAAATCACAAATGTTGAGAATTCTGTTTGCAAAGATTTTTCTGGTTCTGGATATACCGTCGTAAACTGCGTTTGCGTATTTGCTTCTTTTGCTGAAGTAAATATTGAAAAATCTGTTTGGGTATGATGCTCAAAAAGCATATCAAATGCAGACAACTCGGTCTGAGTTGGACGGTCAAAAATTAAGTCAAATGCAGAAACATCTGTTTGAGCAGAACAGTCGTAATGGAAATCAGATCCTCGAAGTCCTGTTTGGGTTGAATTTTCGCGTTCAGCAAAAACCGTTTGCACCCCGGTGCAGTCGCTTACGAAGCCCGTTTGAGTGTTAATTTCTTCAAAGAACTCAGTACCTCGAATTCCGGTCTGAGTCGTGTTATCTCGCTCCGTGAGAAGGGTTTGTATTCCTCTGCTCTCTAGCGGAAGGATTGTTTGGGAGGCGGCCTCTGTTAGAAATTCTATTCCTTGAACTCCAGTTTGAACTGAAGTTTCATCTGTGGTCAGCAAAGTTTGTGCACTGGTACTCTCTTGTAGCAGAACTGTTTGACAGTCGGCTTCTACAAGAAATTCTTTTCCTTGAAGTTCAGTTTGGGTTGTTTTTCCATGTTCAGCAAGCAGTGTCTGAATTCCTACAGTTTCTAATTGGAACGTAGTCTGAGAGTCAGCTTCTATAAGGAATTCATCTTGGATTGATACATCTGATTTTGTAGCATTTTTCAAGCAACTCATATCTGTTTGGATTTCTTGTGTAGTTTCCATATCCACTTGTGTAGCTGTTTTAGAAACTAGCTGAGTTTCTTCAGTCCCTACGTTCATATCTGTACCCAACATTGCCGATAAATTATTGCGCAAACGATTGATCTCATTTATTGTTTCGTCTGCAGTTAATTCAATGTTAGCCTGAAAAGGTACATGTTTCGTTCATTATAGAAACGACAAAATTGATGAAGTTTTTTGTCTCTCAGTCTTCGTATAAGACAGATGAGACTTTTTTTTACGAAATGAAATATATACTGGATGTTTCATAAATAATGGTAGGCAGTTTTAAAAATCTTTGCTCAGAAAAATTCTATTGGAATGGTAAAAATCTGTCAGAAAATGGACGGCCCAATAAATGAAATTTAGAGGGTAGATGAATCATACTGGGCTGACTTGAGAAAAACTCTCAGTCATTTTAAAGCTTTTTGTTAAATATAAGACATAAAAATTTCAAAAAAGAAAAAAAAGATGTTGCTAGAACCACGTTCATATTGTATGGACGTGACAATCTCTGTAACACCGTGTGTTGGCCTCACACTGTGGAGTCATAGTTTACTGCGAAGCAGGAAGCGCTGCAGTCACAGTAAGCTTTGTGAAAACTGGAATTTCTGTGGACTGTTTCGTAAGCCCTTTTTCTTTTCTGGTCATGTATCAGGGTATAACTACTTCCGTATTATTGCTGTGACATTGTGGTTTGGGGTCTCATCTTCACGTATATTCCCGTCTTATTCGAAAAAGATTAGGCATTGCACTCGTACTTTACCCAGTAAGTGGGTAAAAGGAAGAAGACTTATCAAAGAATTGCCAAAGGATGCAGATTTTGTTTAATCTGGCTGATTTCTTATTGTAAGCATGTACGATGCTCAAGAAACTCACAACTCTGAACTTTTAAAACTGGGAATTAAAACACATTTAATAATGTCGATACAGTGCTGTGTTAGAGGGTTTGCTGATGGGTGTCAAAAAGGTTGTAATTACATTTCTGCCAATTAAAGACAGAATGGAAGCTGTTAGCCGTTTTCAATGCACTTTTTATTAGTGAACTTTGTATTTTAACAACCTTTTTGAGTGAGAAAAAATTTTTGCTTTTCAGTGAAGTTATGGGTTTCTATACTATTTATCATTACGCATGAAACACCAGATCATAGTATAAACTTATAATATTAAAATTTTTTGTCTTTACAGCACTTTAAATTTTTTTTCTTATCTGGAATATTTGAGCAAAAAATACACAAGTAAATAAATATTTGAGCAAAAAATTAATGAGAGAAATATTTTTTCAGTTTTGGTTGTTTTGCTGTAACCTTATTATTTTTTCCTTGTTTGTTGACAAAATGGATGGCTG